CTACAGCAGCCAGCATCCATTTCTCCCCTAAACCATGTCTCTGCACTTCTTACCTTCTCCAATGTGGCCTCTCCTCTCCTTTTAGTTGTGAAGTCTGTTCTGTCAGTCTTCAGGTCAATTTCTGGAGTGCTTAGGATAATTTGATAATTACCTAGTTGTATTGATGGGATGAGGCAATTCTAGTGTCCAAATCTGCCATCTTCCTGTCATTCAATCCCTTTATTTTCAATCTGCATGTGTCTTTAGGTCTGAAACGAGTCTCTCATAGATAATATATAGATGGGCCTTGTTTTATTATGCTTTCCATCACCCTCTGTCTTTTGACATCACCCTGTGTCTTTTGACTAGAGCATTTAGTCCACTGACATTCCAAGTAATAATTTTTCCCCCAAATATTTCATTTATTTTACAAAGAGAGAGAGAGAGAACACCCACAAGCAGGGGGAGCAGCAGAGGGAGAGGGAGAAGCAAGTTCCCTGATGAGTAGGGAGCTCAATGTGGGGCTCAATCCCAGGACCCTGGGATCATGACCTGAGCTGAAGGCAGATGCTTAACCAACTGAGACACCCAGCTGCCCCATCTGCCTGACTTATTTTGCTGAACATAATATAATCTAGCTCCATGCATATCATTGAAAATGGCAAGATTTCATTCCCTTTGATGGCTAAGTAATATCTATCTATCTATCTATCTATCTATCCATCCATCCATCCATCCCACATCTTCTTTATCCATTCATAGTTGATGGATATTCGGGCTCTTTCCATAGTTTAGCTATTGTTGATAATGCTGCTATAAACTTCAGTGTACCTGTATCTCTTTGAATCTGTACTTTTTTTTATCCTTTGACTAGTACCTAGTAGTGCAAATGCTGGATAGTAGGGTAGCTGTATCTTTAACTTTCTGAGGACACTCCATGCTGTTTTCCAGAGTGGCTGCACAAGTTTGCATTTCCACCAACAGTGCAAGAGAATTCCCCTTTCTCTGCATCCTAGCCAACACTTGTTTCTTGTGTTGTTAATTTTAGCCATTTTTTCCTGTTAGTTACTGTGGGAATCTGGCCATGTTGCTGCAGGTAAATCTGATAATATCGTGGAAGTCCTCCATGACTGCTTCCCCCTGGAGTTATCAACTCTCAGACTTCTCCGCACTGAGCCCCCAGTGTCTCATCAATTATACTTCAGTGTAATTATCTTAAGCACTCTAGAACTTATCCAGAACTTTCCTACTCCAGTACTTATTACCATGGTGGTTTCTACTCTTGAGTCTCTGTACCAGTAAGCTGTGACTTCTTGTATCTCCCTGTGATTCTCTAACATTGAAGTCATTGGTTTGCCCTGTGTCCTCCCATCTTCCCACCATTTACACATCCCAAAGAATTATTGATTTTTCAGTCTGTTCACCTTTTTTATTTTTGTTGAGATGGAGTAGTGATCTCCAAGCTCCTTACATTCAGAACTAGAAACTGGAAGTCTTTGTAGTATCTTTTAATGGAAAATATTTTCAATTTTTATGAAGTCTAATTTGTCTATCTTTTCTTTTGTTGTTTATGCCTTTGGTATCATATCCAAGAATCACTCCCAAACCCTATGCAGTTTTCCCCCTATGTTTTTTTCTAAGAATTTTATAATTTTAGGCATTATATTTATATCATGGATCCATTTTGCACTCATTTTTGTATGTGGTGTTAGGTAAGGATATAACTTCATTCTTTTACATCCTGTTTTCCCAGCACCATTTGTTGAAAGACTCTCTTTTCTCCCATTGAATGGTCTTGGCATCCTTGTTGAAACCATTTGACCTTATATGTGAAGATTTATTTCTGGAATCTCTATTCTATTCCATTGGTCTAGATGTTTGTCTTCATGCCAGTACACCCTGTTTTGATTACTGTAGCCTTGTAGTAAGTTTTGAAATTGGGATATGTGAGTCCTCCAGTTTTGTTCTTGTTCAGGACTGTTTTGTCTATTTGAGATTCCATATGAATTTTAGAATGAGATTTTCTATTTCAGCAGAAAGCATCATTAGGATTTTGGTAGGGATTGCATTAAACCTGTAGATCACTTTGCGTTGTACTGACATCTTAGCAATAATAAGTCTTTCTTTTTTTTCTAGAGAGAGAGAGACAGAGAGATGGGAGGGGGAAGGACAGAGGGAGAGGGAGACAGAGAATCTTTTTTTGTTTTAAATGGAGCTTATTTTATTTTTATTATTTTTATTTTTTAATAGTACATCATTAGTTTTTTATGTAGTGTTCAATGATTCATTAGTTGCATATAATACCCAGTGCTCATTACAACCCATACCCTCCTTAATACTCACCACCCTGTTACTTTTTTGAAAAGATTTTATTTATTTATTAGAGAGAGAGAGAGAGAGGGCAAGAGTGAGCACACATGAACAGGAGAGGCACAGAGGAAGAAACAGTCTCCCCACTGAACAGAGAGCCTGGCACAGGCCTCGATCCCAGGACCTTGGAATTATGACCTGAGCCAAACACAGACACTTAACCAACTGAGTCACCCAGGTGCCACTTAACAGTAATATGTCTTTCAATCCATGAACATGAGATCTCTTTCCATTTATTTATGTGCTCTTTAATTTATTTCAGAAATGTTTTTGTTGTTTTCATCATACAAGTTAAGTTAATTCCTAAGTATTAGTTAAGTTAATTAAATTAGTTAATTCCTAAGTATTTTCATGGTATTGTAAGTGAAACTGTTTTCTTAATTTCCTGTTCAGATTTTTCATTTTTAATATATAGCAATGCAACTGATTTTTGTGTGTTGACTTTGTATCCTGCTACTTTGTTGAATTCATTTAATAATTTTAAGTTTTCTGTGTAATCTTTAGGGTTTTCTACATTTGAGATCATATCCTCTTTGAGCAGAGGTAATTCTGCTTCTTTCTTTCCATTTTGGATGCTTTTTTTTTGACCCAATTGTTCTGGCTAGAATTTCTAATACTATGTTGAATAGAAAAGGTGAAAACAGACCTCCCTGCTTGTTCCTAATCTTAGATGAACAACTTTCAGTCTCTCACCACTGAGTATGTTGTTTGCTGTGCATTCTTCAGAAATGGCATTTTATTATATTGAGGTAGTTTCCTTTTATTCCTAGGATTTTGAGTGTTTTTATCATGAAGGAGTGATGAATTTTGGGGCACCTTGGTGGCACAGTAGGTTAAGCTTCTGCCTTCGGCTTGGGTCCTGGTCTCGAGCCCTACATCGGGCTCTCTGCTCAGTAGGGAGCCTGCTTCCCCCTATCTCTCTGCCTGCCTCTCTGCCTACTTGTGATCTCTCTCTGTCAAATAAATAAATAAAATCTTTTTTTAAAAAGCAGTGCTTAATTTTGTCAAATGCCTTTTCTGCATCTATTGAGATGATCATGTGTTTTTTTTTCTTCCATTCTGTTAGTGTGGGTGTATTACATTGATTGATTTATGTAGATTGAGTCATCCTTACATTCCAGGAATAAATCCTACTTGCTCATGGTGCATAATTCTTTTAACATGTGGCTGAACTCCCTTTTCTGATTTTTTTTTTTGAGGATCTTAGCATCACTGTTCATAAAGGATATTGATCTGTAGTATTATTTTCTTGTAGTGTCTTTCTCTGACTTTGGTATCAGGGTAATGCTGGCCTCATAGAATGATACTGTGCCTTCCTCTTTATTTATGTGGAGAAGTGTGAGAAGGATCATTATTATTTCCTCTTTAAATGTTTGGTCAATTTCACCAGTAAAGACATGGGGCCAAGAACTTTTCTTTGTCAGGAGATTTCAAAAAATTACTGATTCATTCTCCTTACTAGTTATAGGCATACTCAGACTTAAAAAAAGAGACTTATTTATTTTAGAAAGAGAGTGTATGCATGAGTGGGGGGAAAGGGAGAGAGGAAGAGAACCTTCAAGCAGACTCCTAGCTGAATGTAGGAGCCTGATCTAGGCTCCATCCTACTACCCATGAAATCGTGGTCTTAGCTTATCTGACTAGGCTACCCAGTCATGCCAGATCTATTCAGATTCTATAGCTATTTGCTCTGTAGTTACCATAGACATTGCATTTAATATCTTAAAGTTATCACAGTCTAATTTGAGTTTATACTAGCTTAACTTTAACTGTTATTTTAACAGCTCTGATAACAAATTTTGCAGGCATTGTATTCCTGTTTATTTTTCCTTTGAGGATAGTATTATGTAGCCTTTTATTTTCATAATCACAACCATGTAATCCATGATTTATTATTGTTTTGTTTCAACTAATTGTCACTGATCACTGTAAATGACATTTTTCTAATATTGAGGATATCTTCAAACTGAACAATTTTCATAAAAATAAAGAGGATGAAACATTACAATATGGCTGAAATTATATTTAAAGATTTTAATTTTCAACATTAAAGCTTGATAATTATATAGTAATTGGTTAAATATATAAAAGGTAAAATAAGTGTTTAACTGTAGAAAACAAAGTATATTTAATTCAACAGTTTTATGTTTGAAATATTTGGATGCCAGTAAATTGTGGTTAGCATTTATTCTATGTATTCTTCATAGTAATAAAATGCACAAAAGGAAGTTTATACCACATTAAAGTACCTTGCCCATTAAAATATTAACAATATTGTCTAAATTTACTGGTATTTTTAAAAGTTCCAAATTCTGAATTTGCTTCATTTTAAGAATAAATGAGATTTGAACTGTACCACTCTTTAAAAGACAATTGAAAATGATTGCATTGAGTAAATTGCAAATGAATATATAGACATTTGGAAATCAATGAATGAATCTAAAATCCACACAATTAGCCACATGATGTCGCTGTATACCACAAAGTCTTGTCATCAAAAACTAAAGAGGAAAGCTCCATTTTGTCACAGCCTGAGAGAAGACAAAAACGGCCGGGAGATATATTATTCGAGATATAAAGTAAAGAGAGTATGACTTTGAAGTGAGTGAGAGGTACCAAATTTGTAGTGGTTTTGCGATGCTGTTTCCCAGGCAAGAAGGCAAGGGAACCCTGCGTTTGCTGCTCTGCGTTCTGCTCCTCGCAGCCTGGCAGACTGGGAGTGGTCAGGTCCACTATTCGGTCCCGGAGGAGGCCAAACACGGCACCTTCGTGGGCCGCATCGTCCAGGATTTGGGGCTGGAGCTGGCGGAGCTGGTGCCACGCCTGTTCCGGGTGGCGTCCAAAGGCCACGGCGACCTTCTGGAGGTAAATCTGCAGAATGGCATTTTGTTTGTGAATTCTCGGATCGACCGGGAAGAGCTGTGCGGGCAGAATCTGGAGTGTAGCATCCACCTGGAGGTGATCGTGGACAAGCCGCTGCAGGTTTTCCATGTGGTGGTGGAGGTGAAGGACATTAATGATAACCCACCGGTTTTCAGAGCAAGAGAACAAAGGTTTTTTATTCCTGAATCTAGACTGGTGGATTCACGTTTCCCGATAGAGGGCGCTGCTGATGAAGACATTGGTACCAACGCTCTTCTTACTTACACCCTCAGCCCCAATGATTATTTCTCTTTGGATGTACAGGCAAGTGATGAACTCAGTAAGTCACTTTCACTTGAATTGAGGAAGTCTTTGGATAGAGAAGAAACACCAGAACTTCATTTATTATTGACAGCCACTGATGGGGGCAAGCCAGAGCTGGAAGGTACAGTTCAGCTGCTGATCACAGTGCTGGATGTTAATGATAATGCCCCATTGTTTGCCCAGGCTGGGTACAGAGTCCATTTATTAGAGAGTACAGCAAATGGAACATTAGTGACTACATTAAATGCCTCTGATGCCGATGAAGGTGTAAATGGCGAAATTGTTTTTTCCTTTGGCAGTGATGTTCCTCTAAACATTCAAAAAAACTTCAAAATTGATTCCAGCTCAGGAGAAATTAGACTAATTGGTAGACTGGATTATGAAGAAACGAAATCCTATGAAATTCAGGTAAAAGCAGTTGATAAAGGAAATCCTCCAATGTCGAATCACTGCAAAGTTTTAGTGAAAGTGCTAGATGTAAATGACAATGCTCCACAACTGGCAATCACACCTCTGTCTTTGCCGGTCCGAGAGGACTCTCCACTAGGCACCGTCATCGCCTTTGTCTCCGTGTCCGACCGTGACTCTGGTGTCTACGGGCAGGTGACCTGCTCTCTGATGCCTCCTATCCCATTCAAACTGGTGTCCACCTTCAAGAACTACTATTCGCTGGTGCTGGACAGCGC